GTTGACGCCCTCAAGAGTCATATTTTCAATAACATCATCTGGCCTAACCTGTCAGACGAGAACAACGGCGCAGGTCTCGTAAATTTCACTCGGCTTGTCGAAGGCGGCTCACCGGCGATTGGCGAAGGCGAAGCCAAAGGCTACCTCGAGGTCGCCGACCGCATTGCGGTAAAGGCTCACGCCATCTCACACGGCCACTGTGTCGAACGCCACCCTCACCGCGGCTCGACGTCCTCGACTGCGACGCCACTACGTTACGGTTCTGTTGACGCCGCCTCCGTTGCATCGCCACGCATCCTTCCCTACAACATCGCCAGTACAGCGCGCAACCACTCCATTGCGCCGGAACCCCAAGCAAGTATCTGCGTCGTCGATTCCTCAGCCTACTTCATACTCGATCTCGCCACGAACCATCAGATTCTCATCTTCGGTGACGTTGAACCAGATTCGCTCTCGTTGTCCCCCCGAAATCATTTCGTATGGCAGGAAGCCGCCCCCAGAATCGTATCAGGTCAACTCGGCGCGATCTTCATCGAATGCTCCTACGATGATTCGCAGTCTGTGGACCGCCTCTTCGGCCACCTGAAACCCAGCTTTCTGGTCGAAGAACTGGGCAACCTAGCTCAGGAAGTTGAAAATGTCCGGGACATACCTCATCCATCACGCAAACGCAAACGGGTGGCCGATGCAGACACCATTCCTCGCCGTAGGACAGGCGGGGCGTTTGGCCGTCTGGCTAGCGGCGACGAGTCCCCTATCAGCCCGAAATCGGTAGCAAGACGCGCTGTGTCCGCAGACATATCCCACGTGCCGCCACTTCCGCCCGCTGCGACATCTGTGGAGAGCTCCCATCTTACTACGCCCACCCAAGAGCTGTCGCTGAGAGAGGCGGAGCTCGGCGTCAGCGAGTCTGAAGACGGACATCAGTCGGGCCTTCCCCTGAAAGGGCTCAAAATCGTAATTATTCACGTCAAAGAGCGTTTCGATGGACGCAACACAAGCGATGTAATCCTGAAAGAGCTGCGGGCTCACGAAGAGGTGGCCCAGCTGGGCTGCGAATTCATCGTCTCAAAGCAAGGGCAGAGTATCTACCTGTAAACCCAGCGTTTATAATGACTTGGGCCCGAAGGAGGGGAGTATGACTTGCATGAAAAACGGTCAGATACCAGGTTATGCCTTTCTGGAGTTTGGTCTTGGGGTTGACGGCATGGGTATATACCGTGTCCTTGTATTTCCATTTCTGCATTCTATATATCCGCCGGACGCCTTCACGGGCAGCCGCATGAGTTGCTGTGTCATGACTCTAGTTGCCCCGTCTATATGTTCTCTCATGTGTCGTCATTACATCTCAGATAGTCTATTGTCCGTTCTTGATCTTCTCGTAACCCTCCTCGCCGCCAATGTTCTTGTCCCAGTCCGCGCGGGGAATCTCAAGGACCTCGGTAGTACGGCCGTACGTGATGCCGCCAAGTCTGCTTACCGGGCGGAGAACCTATTAGACGTCAGCACCAGCATCCCTGTTAGTGATGAACGACTGCAACTCACTGTAGGATCAATGATATTCCTCTGCTCGTTGATGGCATCCTCCCTGACCCAAAAGTTCTTTCCCTCAATGATACACACGACGCCGCTCTTCTTACCCGGCGTAGCCCTTGAGTCGTACTCCTTGAACGAGTCCAGCACGCCCTCGATGCTGAAGATGGCCTCCTTTACGCGCGCTGCCTTGACGTGCTTGCAGTCGGACACGGGCGTCAGGCCGCTGACGTCCCACTCGCTCTTGCCGTAGGGCGCGTTGACGCTCGTGGCGTTGGCGGCCTCGAGGAAGCCCTCGGAAATGATGTTGATGACGCACTCCTTGCTCTCGAGCAGGCACTTGAGCGAGTCCTTGGGCTTGTCGACGGAGGCGGCGAAGCCGACGACGAAGAGGGGCGGGTCGTGGTTGACCATGTTGAAGTAGCTGAAGGGGGCGAGGTTGGTGACGGAGCCGTCGGCGGAGCGGGTGGAGAGGAAGGCGATGGGGCGCGGGACGACGCCCGAGATGAGCAGCTTGTAGTTGAAGCCCGCGGGGCGGCCCTCCTCGTGCGGGTCGATGGAGACGTGCGCGGCGGCGGACTGGCCGAGGGCGTTGGCGCCGGAGCCGTATTTCCAGTCCGGGTCGATGGTCTTTGTGAAGCGGACGTTGAGGGAGGGGTCGAAGGGGGGCCGTGTCGCCTCGACGGACTTGAAGTCCGGGTGGGGGTTGTGCGTGGCGGAGGAGCCGCCTTCGAATTTTGTGTTTTGCTGGGCCATTTTGGAGAATGCGCGGCGGCTGCGGAGGACGAGGGACGGCAATGGGCGGGAGAAGGGTATCGTGGGAAGACGGAGGAGGAGAGGGCGGGCGTTGGACAACATGGCTTTATTTGCGCGGGAGGTTATGTGGGTTATATATCGCGGGTCACGAAACGGGGAGCGGGCGCGAGTCAATTCTGCGATTGCGGGATGCGTTGGAGGAACCCACTTTCTCTCGAGGACGATTGGAAACACAACACGGAAAGGCAGTCACTTCTCAGTTGGTGTCCCTTACTGATGCTTACCCATTACCGATAGCTGCCGGCCTAGCTTCTCGGATGGTGGAGTCGACGCCGAGGGGGGCCAGATGTGGAGGGGCATGGAGGGGTTGAAGAGGTGGTGGCAGGGTTCGAGGAGGGGCCCTTGTCCATGATGCAATTGACTTGGCGGGCCGGATTTGGGGTTGGTTTAGGGTCCTTTCTGGTGCGAAATCTGCTGTCTGGGGGATTTGAGATGCGTTCCGGCTTGCGAGAAGCTATTGCCGTTGACAAATTGGCCATTGGTAATTCGTTCCGTGAGCTGGGATTCAACCCGGGCTGAGGCTCGGGGGATGGAAATCGGAACTCGGAAGCCAAGTGACAGGTCGGGGGCCAGGACAGGAACCTCCACATGGACTTCAATGTGGAGATGCTTGGACGCCGGGTGGGGGATCATGGATGGCGGGATGTGATGGCGGGATGGCTCGATAAGATAAGGTTGCCTCGACCTGATAGATGCATTGCTTCGGGAGCGGCCTACGGCACTGCAATAGGCCCAGACAGGCGACTAAGAGACCGACGGAACATCTGAGGATCGGTATCTGAGAAGACGTCTCCGTCGCTCCTGTGTTTTGGTTGATGGCAAATTGACTTCACCACCACACCACAAAGAATTCTGAGCGCATGATTCTGAGTTCGAGATGCAGAACATGGCCAGTTATCAAGCGCGACGGGTGTCTCTTGTTCGCATGCCCGCGTTGTTGGGGTTGGGCTGCAGCGGCGAGATGAATGTCTCAACAGCGGCCGCGGGCGGGGAGGGGGGACCACATCTGGTGGTTAGCGAGAGTCGTGGGCTGTTTTCTTAAACAGCATCGAACCAGTTGAGATGGTGCGTTGAGAGACGGGCAGAGACAACAACGTTCCCCGAGTGGCCATGCATCGTTATCGAGGTTACACGGTTATCAACAGAGAGGAAACCGCCCGTGGGGGGGGGGGGGGGGGGGGGGGGGGAGAGGCACGGAACCTGAGACGGCATTCTTTCGATTCCCCATTCGGCTCAGACTCGGTACGCCCTCAGCTTCGCAAACACGTTCCACCCCCGCCATTCCCGTCGTGCCATCGACACGGTGCATGGCCTGATGGGACCGTGGGCTCGGCCCGTTATTGGCCTTGTTTCTCCATGCAGGTGCTTTGCAAATGTGAATGGAATGCCGCCGAGTGGCCGCTTGCCAGGAACGGTCGGGTATCGATTTTCGAGGGAGAGATGGTGAGGTTGCAGATATGCCGTCTCAACAGATCCAGACTCGAGTATAAGTAGTCTGGTCTCGACACTCGAGTCCTCAGTCGATTCAAGCCTAAGAGAACTTCCACTTGAAAGCACACCCGTTGCAATCATCCACACTCCCAAGTCTCAACAGCGCCGAAATCATCATGAGCGCCATCCGATCATCCTCGTCAGCTCTCCTCCTTCTCGGCGGTGTAGCAACACTCCCCGGGGCTGCCTCCGTCCGCAGTCACTTCCCACAACGCACATCGGCATCAGCTCCGCTTGACGCGGAGCTGGGCTACCTGCAAGAGCCCCTCGGCCCCGCAAGCAGCCGGCCCACGGCACCCGCGGCCCAAACCACCACCAAGCGCAGTGCCGCTCTGTCAACAACATCTTTGGGCTGGCAGGGTCAGGCATTATGACTGCATCGCACAGCGGTACAAGTCGTGACGATGGCAACGATCCTTTCGCGGCCCCATGTGCCTGATGGGTCGCAACCTCGGCCTACCTCTGCACGGGAGATGGTTGCGGCCGTGCTGAGTCGGAATCAGCAGTACACGTCGGGAGCGTCAAAGACTTGGTACACGATGCCGGCACATCGGGAAATGTGATGATGATTTGGCTTGGGAGACGGCGTCAATGGACATGAAATTGGTTTTGGTGGGGTAACGGGATATCCATGGTGCAGAATGTGATTTTGGGACCGAATATGGCGGTGGTGTTTGGCGCAGGTATCACTTCAAGGTTGAAAAGGGCGTTAGATTTCATGGTTCGAATATGACTTCAAAAAAGAATAGGCTTCTTTACCTCTATTTTCAGATCCCGACTTGGCTTATTCAATTGCATCTATTCTACCTAGTGTTGGGTACATTCCTCATGTTGATGACTCAGCTCAACGCCTCCGATAAGCTCTTATCAGCGGCGTTGCAGGGATACCAATGGAAGGAATTTTTTGCGTCAACAGCAGCTGCGTCAGGCCGTCCATTGTCGATTCACTCGCCGATGCCGTACAGCAAGAGTCACTCGCCGTTGCCGCGATAGTCCTCGGTTCCACTACAACCCGTCGAGGTGCTTGTTTGGCTCTGACATTGGACGTGCAGTTCTTTGCCCTTCTCCAATGTCTTGATATCCACCAGCGGGTTTTTCCTCAAGACCCTCCCCTCCCTTTGAGCCTCGCGCTCCACACTCTCTTTCTTTTCCCCTTCTCCATGCCTCTGGGACGTGGACGGACGAACGTAGGGCCAATTTTTCGTCGCCGCACGCCTCCCTCAGCACCTCGTCCTTTTTTTGCGAAGCCCCTTGGAGAGAAGCCACTCGCGAAACCGCCTTCAGCTCCTCGACCGAGCAATCGCAACGAAGCCCCACGACCTACCCCTCGACCTACCCCTCCTCCAGCAGCCAAAGCAGCATCTGCGCAACACCGCGCTGTCAAGCCAAAAGCCAGCAAAAACACTACGACGCCGAGAAGAAGGTACGCGGGCACAATAAAACCCGAGCAAGCTTCATCATCGGACGGAAGTAGGAAACGCCTCTGGGACTTGGAGCCCCGACCTCGACGACCGTCCGAACCTGATAACGTTGACGATTTTCTGTTGGAAAAGTTCGATTTCAAACGTGCTCCCAAAGAGCTCATTGCTTCGATCAAACGTTTGTGCTACAACACCGGGCGATTTCACCTGTCAAAGAAGGAGAGGGACGTCTACACAGGCAATCCAGACGATTTTGGTGGCAAGAGCGCCTACCTGATCCGCAGCGACTGGAATAGAGCGACACCGGGCCTTTGGTTTCTACGCTTCTTTCTGCTCACAGGGCCGCCGATACGAAAATCCCCTGTTCCCTGGCAACCAAACGAGCGTGCTACAAACATGACGAACCACGTCCAAATTACTACGACCCCGACGGCGGACACGGGCGGCAGCTTGCTGTTGCACTTTGACCATCGGAGGTATCTCTTTGGACATCTGTCAGAGGGTACGCAGAGAGCGTTGGGTCAGCGCAAGGTCGCCCTGGCAAAGTTGGAAAACATGTTCATGTCTGGTCAAACGAAATGGGAATACACTGGTGGGATGATTGGTATGATGCTCACAGTCGCCGACGTCCTCGAGGGCAGTCGGAGGGAGATTGAGGCTCAGAACCAGGCCAGGAAGCAGTCCCAGAAGGCGTTGCTGGAGACGAAGGGCCCTGAGCGCATAGAGATTCATGGAGGCCGCAACCTTACCCACAGTCTCGCCACAGCAAGGTATTTCGTCTTCAGGAAGGGCTTGCCCATCCATCCCGTTGAATGCCACGACGATCCAAGGATTGCCAATCCCGAAGCCACCACCCCTGACTGGGAGGATGATGCCATTCAGGTCTGGAAAGTCCCTGTTGTTGCCGGTGAGCCTCAGGCCAGGTCCCGTAAGAGGAGCCATGAGGTCATGGCTGCTGAGGATGAGCAAGTGGCGGCTGATCACACGGCCCAGCCCACGCTGACTCCACAAGAACACGAAAGGCTCAATCGCGAAGGTGTCGCCGCTGTGGTGGAAGACATGTTCAACTCAGACTGGAGCAAGGACACTCTTTGTGAGACGAAGCTGCACAAGGTTTCCCTCCCCGCCACCATTTTCGTGAGAAAGAACGGGCAAATTGAGAGGTACAAGGGCCCTCTGCCTGGCGATAAGGGGCCCGTCCCCGATATCGATGTACTCGTGCGATTCCCCTGGCCCGCCACTAAAGTCGTACGTCTTCCAGACCCGAAGCTACCGTCCGATATGTCTGTTTGTTATATTGTCAAGAACAGAGGTCGTCGAGGAAAGTTCAATCCGCAACTCGCCAAGCAATACGGCATCAAGCCATTTGAGTTCAAGCATCTAACAGCTGGAAAGACCGTGAAAGGTGCAGATGGTGTCGATGTGACACCTGACATGGTGTTGGGTGAGCGAATCAAGCCATGCGGGTTTGCGTTGGTTGATATCCCAAACTTGTCGGCAGTGGAATCTTTTCTTGCAAGGCCAGAATGGAAGAACTCTAGCCTGATGGAAGATGTGCCCATCTTCTACTGGCTTCTCGGTCCGACTGTCATTGACGATACCCGCATTCAAAGCTTCATGAGGGAGAGGCCCGATGTGAACCACATCGTCTTGGCCCCACAGACAAGCCCAAACATGGTGACTATAGAGTCTTGCGCCATTTTGTTGGCAAAGCTACGACGAATCGACCCAGACCGCTTTCCTCTCCTCAACTTTGACAACAGCGTTCGAGACCTGTCTTTCATCGGCCCGAATGTACAAGCAGGCCGCGTCGGTATGAAGACGATGCTCTCGCCGAGCTTCAGCATGAAAGACGACGAGATTCTTCCGTTCCCGACGTTTGAAGAAGCCGGTGCAATTCCGGAAGAAGTCCTGGCACTCGCGGATGAGGCAAAGGCCGCGATCAAAGGGCCCAAGTTCATTGCGGAGGTTGAGCAAGTTGAGAAGGACATCCCCAACAGAGACGCCGAAATTATACCCCTCGGTACTGGGTCCGCTCTGCCATCCAAGTATCGCAACGTTTCTTCGACACTCATTCGCGTGCCGCAATATGGCAACTACATTCTTGACGCTGGCGAAAACACAATGGGTCAGCTGCGACGAGCTTTCCTTGCTGACGAACTAGTCCAAATTCTTCGGGATCTTCGTTGCATATTCATTAGCCACATGCACGCAGACCACCATCTTGGCACAGCGAGCCTACTGCGTGCATGGTGCGATGCCACCGAACATCTCAGCCCTCAACCTAGGCTTGTTATCTACTGCCCCGTGAGTATGCGTCTGTTTCTACAGGAGTATGGTCGCATTGAAAATATCCAAACTGTCAACGGTCGTCGCATCGAGACTCGCAATGTTGTTTGGCCCAACGACGACGCCAAACTACCCAAGGACGACTCAACGAGGCTCGCCTCTGCCGTCCTTGTCCCCGTCAAACACTGCCAAAACTCCTACGCTCCCGTCTTCAGCTTCCCCTCGGGCCTGAAGATCGCCTTCTCGGGCGACTGCCGACCCAGCGATTCGCTCGTTAAGGCCGGCAAGGGCGCCACCCTCCTGATCCACGAGAGCACCTTCGACGACAACAAGAAGGGCGACGCCATCGCCAAGAAGCACTCCACCATGTCCGAGGCTCTCGACGTTGCGTACCGCATGGGCGCCCGCCGCGTGCTTCTTACGCACTTCTCGCAGCGCTATGCCAAGGTCCCCATCACCGAGAAACGGGAGACCGCGGACGGCTCCGACCAGGCCGTCCTGCTCGCCTTTGACCAGATGCGCGTCAAACTGGGCGAGTTCCGTCAGGCCCAGAAGTTTTTGCCTGCGATCAGACTTTACTTTGAGTTGACTGGTGCGGATTAGATAGATGGCTAGATGTGAAAATGAAAATAGAAGGCATCTCCAATCATCTATTGTTGTCCACGATGCTAGGCCTGTGGCGTGAATTTGCATGAAGTCGAATATCAACAGCTAACTAACACAAAGCTATACGACTCCTGGGGCAGAGACCTTACCGAGTAAGGCACGTCCGCATCCTTGACCTTTTCCATTATTTGCAAATGGGAAGATGTCGGGTATTGCAACAGTCTCAAGCTGTGCCCTATTCTATAGTGAGGGATATCGAAGTTCCCTAGGTGCTTAAGCAGCTTGCTAGTCTGTTCAGTGCGGAATGAGTGAGATGACCTCGCCCCCCGTTTGATTGCTTCTGTAAATGGTTGACTGAAGAAGGAATGAAAAAACTCGAAAAGATCCGACGCATAAAAAACAGCCGAGGCGACAACAAAGGCCGTGGAAAAGGCCGCGTGTGATATGTAGGTGATAGCAACGTTCACGTTCGAAAGTTCCCGGATTGGTCTGAAAAAGAATCGGAAGCTGAGTACCTCAGATCGGATTCGGTTTCCTCTCAGAACCAGAGCTGCCTCCAGAAGCCCCCAGGGAGTATCGTGCTTGACATGCTGTGTTAAACAAAGGCTGCCTCCTACCATCCCCGCTTGACCCGGCCCATCATGCACTCGGCCGGATGAGCTGTCAATGGTGAAAGTTCCCATCCAGGCCTCCAGATAGTTGCGGTTTTCCGATTTGTTTCCGATTCCCGAGAGCGCATTTTCCCGTAATTTCTGCTTAGTCTTAGCCGCAAGATGGAACGACGAAGATGCGTGGCTTTGATGCAGGATTTGATCGACTATGTTGCTCACGAAAGACGCATTCGCAGCTGGGAGAATCAATCCGCCGAACGCAATTGCAGCATCGACGGCCACATTCAATCCGCTTTTCATCAGCATAAGCGGCATCGTGACGTCTTGGTACACCGCATCTACTGACTGAACTTCTTTACTAGCGTGTTCGAGTAAGGTGATGGTTTCGAGGGAGTTTGATAATGAGCTCCTACGACTCAAAGGCAAAATCTTGTCCAACACGTTTTCGGAGGCTTTCGGTTGTAATTCTCTGAAAGGAAGTAGCTTTGGTAATGGCGATTCCAGGGGATGTTGTGTCTGAGGCGCGGGCAGAATATTCATGGGTTTCCGCTCAATGTATGACTTTTCCTGCGCGTCTGCTATCTTCTCTAGCGTACCCTGCATTTTCTCCAGAGCGTATTCGATCTTTTGGGCCCGAATTTGACTCTCATCGTATCTTGTTGATTGCTCTTGTCTCATGACAAGTTCATTTCGCCTTGAGAAAGTCCGTGAGTCGCCAGTATTCTGATCATAGCTCTCGAGTGTTTGGTTGACTTACCTGCCAGTTACTGAGAGCGCCGCGGTCATGGAGGAGGTAAGACGGCCGATGCGCACGGAGGTTTGGTTGATATTGTCCGCCTCCCCAGCCCATCTGAGTCTCTTCACGATCAACTCGAACACGCTATCCTGAGGTAGTTCCTGACAGTTTTCCAACACCTTGCAAAGGTACCTGAACTCGTGATCAAACAGTGCTAAGAGGCTTTGGATGGCGGGCAAATGTTGTCCTTCGTAGATCAAAGACGGACAAGACTGGAAGTCCTGAAGCCACATCTTGGTGTCGTGGATAATATTGGTGGAGGCGCGTATCTCAACCAGTAACCGAGTCTTCGTTGACGGTGCATTTTTGCATTTGCTGAACAATTCGTATAGCTTATGACCTCTCTGGAAAACAAGATCAGCCGCACCGACTACCGCCAAGACGTTGGCGGTGACGGAAAGTGAGTCGTTATCGGCCATGTAATGATGGAGTTTTGCGAATCAGACTGTGTGTGTATGATGGACAGATACACTGCTAGCAGCGCTGGATTGGGAGGAGCAGGCTTTATCAATCCAGAGTGGGTTGTAGGATGCGTTGCTGGTTGCTGGTCTGAGGGGCGCAGCACTCCGCCTCCGCGCCGGCTGAGTACACATGAGAGATATGAGAGGCCAGCAACCAGGTCATGTGGTTCTCAGATATGCAAGATGCAGGTCTTTGGAGCAGGCTTTCTGGTGTAACGGTAGAGGCCTTCTGCCCAGCCAATCGCAGCGACTTTGATCAATTGGCAAGCTTTGTCTCAGTAAAATGATACGGAAGATTTGTGAGCAGGTCAAATTTTCTTAGTCGAGTTTATAGATGTTCATTAATTCTTTTTAGCATTCTGTTACATCAACTCAGAGAAACATTTACGCAGATCTTACAAAGAATGCTCTGCTTAATAGCCTGAGGCACTGGCCCAGGTAGTAATACTCTTACAAAATTATTCTTGAATCACTTTTGTTGCCGACGCTGCCCAGAGATCTACATCACAACACCAAATTAAAGGGAGTTGTGCACTGTAGATATCGCTGGTTTTGTATGGTGCTACTGCCTGCTAGTATCTTCTTCGTCTCACTACAGGTTCAGATCTCAGCTAACTCTCGAAGTCCTACACAATTAAAACTCTTTGAGAGCATGTGTGTGCTGCACATTATATCGAGGAGTGCGGGATACTGAAATTCATCCCAAGTCTTTCTAACATAGATACTTTCCTTCGGATACCTTAGATACACCGCAGAGTACGTAAGATTATCCGAGACAGGAATCGTAACCTGATCTTCGTCATTATCGTGCTCAGACAGATCCTTGGCTTCACAACAGTTCAAGGTGATATCCTTTTTTGAGCCAGAAGGCACATTGTCTAGAAGCCCTCCAAAGACTTTAGCTTGGTTGCTTCCATCTGGCGAATTCTCCGACTTTCTGATGGCCATGATCATGTTGTTCTTGTGTCGAGGGTTGCGTCGCCGGCCGCGATCAGCCCCACGGCCGAGTCCAGGCAGTCGCGGCGGAACGTGATGGTTTAGTTCAGCTCGATTGCACGTAAATGGCGTGATTGACATGGAATTCATCGCGGCTTGAATATTTCGAGTGGTCTCCGTCAACTTGATGACTTCTATCTTTGTGACGTGTAGTTCTTTCCGAACAACGAGGTCATTCTGCCTACGAAATTATGAGTAGGTTTTGTCAGATGGGGCAATAATTCTCGCCGTACCTTCCACTCACGGACAAGGCTGCAATCATTGAAGTAGTTAAACGATGAAGCCTATTGCAGGATTGGGCTATGGTTTGTTCTTCGATGGCCCACCGGAAATTCTTTGTCAATTGATTAAACCAGCCACCGCGGACAGTCGCCCGAGAATCATTTATCATGTTGCACAACAGGTCGAATTCTTGTCCAAAAAGAGTAAGAATTGTCTTGACATCCAGAAAAGAATGCCCATCTGTAGCAGTGAGGGTGGAATTTTGGTGATCGTCGAGGTATATACGGGCTTGAGCTATTGTCGATGTAGACGCTAATAGTTCTGCGAGGAGAAAGGCCTTGGCCGCCGGGGCGTTCCGGCATCGACTGTACAGATCGTAGAGCTCTTTTCCGTTTCTGAAGACGACATCTGCAAGGCCTATGACTCCTGCGATGTTGGCGGTCAAGGAAAGAGCGTTGCTGTCGCCCATACTCCTACTTTTGACGGGCGCAGGTGATAATTGAACGAAATGATGGGCGAGAATGATGAAAATGCGAGAAATGGATGAAGCTGACGTTGGCTATTATGTGTTCAGTCATCCTGAGTGCCAGTGGCTGAGCAGCATCAGACTATTGCCAAGATAGTACATCGTTGGTCCGGAATTTGCAGGCAAGAGAGTGAGGCGAGAGCTTTCGTCCAATTGCCGAGACATTCCCCCACACTAGCTGGCCGCCTTGATCCGCAAAAACTCAGGAGATGCTGGAATGAGTTACTTTGGCAAGAATGCTCACACAATGTCACGCTCACTGCATTCATGATTCGACATTGAAGGCCTGGCGAGGCACAGGCCCATCAATCGTCGCTGGCAAGTACTATGGTGCGATACAGCCCGCCCACTGCGCATACTAGAGAACGAATGGAAATCATGGAACTTTGACTACCGAGTTCTTAGACTTTCCTGTACAAAACTGGACTGAACCACGATGGAACGCCCGTTGATGTTCTCATCTGACCCTGAAGCGGCGGACATACTCTTCCCAACACCGTCCCCCGCGGTGATCCTATTCGTGAGACCAATTTCGTCTCCCTCTTCGTCGAGCTTCACTCTGCCATCTCCGCCACTGCCAAAGTTGAACCTCGAACCCCCGTATGTGAAAAGCGCACCAGCCCCCTTTTGCGAGTTACCCCCTGTTCCCCCTTTTCCTGATCTCCATGGTGCACTGGCTGATGATGGGCCGGACTGACCATTGCTCCGCTGACTAGACGATAGCTTATGACGGACGAGATGTCGGAGAGGTGCTAGGTGGGGGAGGCAAGCAGATACTATGGCAACCGACGGTTCGATTGCCGACCAGATGAACACGGGGCCCATCATCCAGGTAATGTCCGTGGATTTAGAGAACTTGTCGAGGTACCAGATTCGAACGACGCTGGCGACGCAAACACTATCAGACATGTCAGTTATTGAACTGCCACGAAGGAAAAAGGGACTAGTCGCACAAGCTACCCAGAAGCATGATGCTGCACACAGCCAACTTCTTTCTCCCTGACATCTGCAATTTCAAAATTTGTGGTATCGGAAGGAGTAGAACTATTATGTCGTTGATCATGTTGATGATACCAAGGGCGAGGTAGAATGTGTTCAGGTCGATGCATGTCCCTTGCGCTCCAATGAATTGATCCCAGTAAAAATGCAAGGGTTTGCAAGCGTTGCCCATAGTTCCCCAAATGACGATCGGATAGGCAATGGAGAGGAAGTAGCCCGTAATCAACGACAGTCTGAAGGAGGGCACTCGAGAGATAAAGACGCGCTGGTAGAAGAGGAGGATAGAGATTTTAGTCGCGGCGCAGGCGGTGCCATAGACAAACGTGTAGGCGTACAGAATCTAAGCCCAGAAGATTGCTGTTAGAAACGAAGGCATAATCATCGGAGGCGCCAACTTGCCTGGAAAACCTTCGTAAGACCAGGGAGCGTGAAGGACCAGATATGGTTGCCGGCGCCATATGTACCGCCGGCGATGCTAAGGCCGACCGTCGCGCCGACGAGGAGCTATCACCAAAAAGGTCAGTTCAACATTCGAAGCCATTTCATCTTGTAGGAACATACCAAAGACCCAACGATAGCCCAGTCATCGGCCTTCAAATCATGCCCTTGAACAAATCTAGACAAAATTCTCAAAGCCACAGCCGCAGAAGCGAGGACTGCGAGAACAATGACTGCAGCATTGTTTTGCGCAACGCTACTCTCAGCGATGTCGATACCGTCTGGCGGCGGTCCAAATACAGCAACAATGTCTGCATTGGGTTCCATCATCAAGGTGAAGAGATCGAGAACCCGGCACGAAGCAACGCCATGGTGAATGGGGGCGGAAAGACATATTTTACGCCGCACATATTTCCTCGACCACGACAAGAAAGATTTTCGTCATGCAGAACCGAGCAGCTTTGGCGGGAAATGGCTGCGGCAGAGTCTCTACGCGGAAGGAACGCCGGTTGCGGGAAAAGAAATTCTGGACGCGAGTCTGAGCTGGAATTCGAAGATTGGGCTCGTGCTGGTCGTTGGTCGTCGTTATCCCAGACGTAGTCTCCACAAACTTGCAGACTGGTTGATGAAGACCCAGATGTTCAGTGGTTGTGGGATACATCTTCCGTGCACAGTCACATTCGGATCGGCTCCTCTCTTAGCATGAGAAAAAGATGTCGTTGGTCGTTGGTTCATATCGTATGATTCTCTTGTGGCCTGTTCCATAAAGTGGGACCGTATATGCATGTGTAGTTTCTCCGTACAGGGAACGAATGCACAGACGAGGGGATGCTGTTGGTTCTCGTCTGGAGGCGGCTCGGGCTGCTAGGGTCCCAGGCATTTCATGACGACGATTCTGCGGTTGGCCCTGGTATCTGCAGCTCACTGTAGCCCTTGAAATGTGATGAGCATTCTTCACATGCATCCGGAAGAAATGGACGAACAGGTTGAGGAGGAGGTCCGATGCATTGTAGAGCTGAGGTTCTTGAACACTTCGACCTACTCCTTGCGGTTTTTGAATTCCTAAGAAGGGAAGAAAGATTCAATGGCATATGTCGAATAACAAAAGGCCACCTCTCGATTGTGACACATGTAGCAATGAAGAAATCAGGGAAACACAACGATACCTTTATCTCGATATTGTTATGTACGTTGTGCTTGAGCCTAGCCGCTGTCATGTAAGGAACTCTTTAGCATACTAACGGGCTGCAGCGGCGGGGAAGTAACTCCTAGCGGGCCGACTTGGCTTGCATGGATTGTTAAGCGGTGGTGGGTGCAACTTCGTTGACAAGGATCTCCAATTTCTCCGGCCAATATTCGAAAGCAGTAGGTGATCTGACGATGTGTTGCGAGCAGCCGTTGGCAGTTTCAAAAGAGATTAGTAGCTCGACTCACCTGAAGGTGCAATGCAAAGAATAATGAAGATGTTCTGCATGCTCAACAGTATCCTGCCGGTCTTGCCCCGTTTGGAGTGGCGGGTATGAAATTCGGTCCACTTGTTGGTACGGGGGTGCAGGCATCTTCAATCCGTACCTGGCATCAACCATGGCGG